TCAGACGGATAACAGGATAGCATAAGGGCATACTCCTGTCTCTTATACACATCTAGATGTGTATAAGAGACAGCTGTGTGTGTGTGTGTGTGTGTGTGTGTGTGTGTGTGTGTGTGTCCCTCCCCGAATCTGTTTCTGAGAGTCAGCAGGCGGAAAGGGGCAGAGAATTTACTTGCATGCAAACAAATCGGCCAGTGCGAATAGGATTGAATAGCCAATCAACCCTCGGCTTCGCTGAACTGATAGATGAACCGGTAATCAATTGCCAGGTCAATCAAACAACCCATCAACCAATAAATACTAGAAATAGATAGACCAAGTAACACAATCAAAGCCAATCAAAACCGTTGACAAAAAATGAATCAAAGGGTCGAATTAATCACCCAACAAATCCAACAGAATCACTTTCTTCGACAACCAATCAATTCCAGGACAAGTAAAAGATGATGATGTCAGTTAAATATAGGTACACTGATTCGAAAAGCTCTTTCGGATAAAAAATAATAAAAAATATATATATATCGTCAAATAGAACTGCCCGGTAAACCGTAGGCAGAGAGGGAGAAGAGGACAACAAACGAGTAATTATTATTATTATTATTAAAAAAAAAAAAAGCTCTCTCGGAGAGTGAAGTACACAACACTTTCGGTAGACTGATTGATTGGAAAGTCGAATGGTTGGGATTCCGTATGTGGTAGTCGTTCCAGGGTAGTTTGCTTCTCCCACCATACCTTTTTTTTCTCTCTCCGTCCTTGTCCTATCCCCTACCGCATCGGTATCCCAATCCCCTATCCCATTCCTCTCCCACTCCTAACCTCTTTCTATCGCATTCCTGTCCCACTACCTCATTCACCCCCGATCCCGACTGAGGTTTTTTCAAGCCCAGACTCGTTTACACCCCCTACACGTCCCTCCCCTCTGTCGGTTTGCTTGTCACCCGATCCCGACTGTGTTCTACCCGATCCCGATTGTGTTCTATCCCTTATCTGTCTATCTGTCTGTCTGTCTATCTATGTCTGTCTGTCTATCTATCTGTCTGTCTGTCTGTCTGTCTGTCTGTCTGTCTGTCTGTCTGTCTGTCAGCCTGCTTATCTGATTGTCTATCTATGTTTCTGTTTGTCTGTTTGTCTGGGCCACGGTCCCACTAGCACCTGGATTACCTTCTTCCCCCGACTACAAACTACGGTCATTATAGCTGTATCTAGACTGAAAGATGCCTCAAATACAGCTATAATGCCCGTACGTTGTATTTGGGGGAAGAAGTAGCCTTAGCCTATATCCGGGGCACGTGTTTTCTGTAAAACATTGTACCTCCGATCGATAAGCGCCACCCATTCGACGTAGATCTGACGCCGGTACCTTTTTCTTCAACTGTTTGGTTCGTTTCACATCTTTTTTTTTTTTTTTTTTTTTTTTTTA